CTCAGCAGCATCGAGGGCTCAGCAGCATCGAGGGCTCAGCAGCATCGAGGGCTCAGCAGCATCGAGCGCACGTCTGTCTTGAAATCAATGCATTGGTTATTTATTTATATCTGGGATTCTACAGACACAAAATTATGCTGCTTCTTTCTTCTCCTTTCTCGCGGCGACCGACAGCTAATGTCCGGCTGCTGTAATACTAAAATATTCGTACTTACTGACTGACCTCTCTCCTTTTCCCCGCTTCTTCTGCCGCTTCTTTTGCCGTAGTAAAAGCGCTGCTTCCTTGGGTATGGTGACTTATCCACTCCGTTTATCAGCAGTCTTTCAGTCAATCAACCAATCAACCAATTAGTCAGCACATCCAATCCTCCAGTCCTTCACTCACTTCTATATTCTTTAACCTACCGGTACTCACCCAATTGTTCAATTACCTAATCCATCAACTAATCCCGTACCCCTCCGTCATTCCATTACTGCACCTATCTACCTCCGCCTAATTCAGCCCGCTATAGTGCGCAACACGCTCATCTTGGCATCGATGCTCTGATTAGCCGTGCGCAAGGCTGAAAGCGAGGTTGAATCGATACGGAATTGAAAGGCTTCTCTTTGTCTCTCACCTTTACTTTCTTCAGCTTCGGATTGGCCGTCCTCCCTACCATTTCCATATGCTTCTTCACCTTTACCTTCACCTTCGCCTGCCTCTCCTCCTCCTTCCTTAATGGCTTTATGCGCTTCGACTATCGACCCCGCCGGAGCGATCTCTATTCCTAGTCCGTCTTTTATTTCTATGCCTATCTTTACTTCCATCTTTATCTCTATTCCGACTTCGATCCTTGACGACGCAATAAAAGGGAGAATGGCATGCAGATATGGCGATAGCGATAGCGATAGCAATCGATCGGGCTGGTATAAGCGCGAATGCTGGCGCGAGGACGGAGACTAAGAGGGTGCGGGCGATAGTATGTGTATGAGTGGTAATGTCTTCGTCCTCTGCGGATTCAGCGGCGCGGGCGTGACGGGCTTGCTGATAGCCGTCGCACCCTTTTCCTTACGACGGAGCTCCTCGACTTGGCGCAACCGATCTTCGAACGCCTGCTGCCTCGCGAACGAATTGGCCAGCGTATCGAAATCATCCTTAAGATACGACGAGAGCATACCCGGTTGCCGGACGGATTGCTGGACGGGTTGCTAGATAGGTTGCTAGACGGGTTGCTGGACGAGTTGCTAAACGGGTGCCGGACGGGTTTCTGGACGAGTTCTTGGATGGGTTACAAGACAAGTCGCTGGACGGGTTGCTATACGGGTTGCAAAACAAGTCGCTGGACGGGTTGCTATACGGGTTGCAAAACAAGTCGCTAGGCGGGTGCCGGACGGATTGCAAGACAAGTCGCTAGACGAGTGCCGGACGGGTTGCTAGACGAGCTGCTATACGGGTTGCTAGACGTGTGCCGGATAGGTTTCTGGACGGGTTCCTAGACGGGTTGCAAGACAAGTCGCTAGACGGGTGCCGGACGGGTTGCTAGACGGGTGCCGGACGGGTTATTAGACGATCTGCTATACGGATTGCTAGACAAGCTGCTGGACGTGTGCCGGACGAGTTCTTGGACGGGACGGGTTGCAAGACAAGTCACTGGACGTATGCCAGACGGGTTTGTGGACGGGTTCCTGGACGGGTTGCAAGACAAGCTGCTGGACGTGTGCCGGAAGGGTTAATGGACGAGCTGTTGGACGGGTTGCTGGACGAGCTGCTGGACGGGTTCTTGGACGGGTTGCTATACGGGTTGCAAAACAAGTCGCTGGACGGGTGCCGGACGGGTTGCTAGACGGGTTGCCGGACGGTTTGCCGGACGGTTTGCAAAATAAATCGCTAGACGGGTTGCTATACGGGTTGCAAGACAAGTCGCTGTGCCGAATAGGTTGCTAAACGATTGCCGGACGGATTACAAGACAAGTCGCTAGACGGGTGCCGGACGAGCTGCTGGACGGGTTGCTGGACGGGTTCCTGGACGGGTTCCTATGCGGAAATGGCCGCTGTCGCTGTCGATACTGGACTTTCGCGTAGCTTCAATCGCTATAAAGTATTGAATCTGTTATTACTTTTGATCCTGCTCTTTCTTCTCCTTTTCTCATCTCTCCTTTTCTCCTTTCTCCTTTTCTTATCTCTCCATTTCTCCTTCTTCCTTTTCTCATCTCTCCATTTCTCCTTCTTCCTTTTCTCCTTTCTCCTTTTCTCCTCTCTCATTTTCTTTTCTCTCCCCCCTTTCTTTTTCCGCTTTTCTTTCTCCATCTCTCCTCCTTCTTCTCCCCCTTGCGCTTGGTCCGCCCCTGGCCGCAGATCCATCTCGCCTTATTCTTCTCCTCTTCGCGAAAGACCGCTCCGAGTCTCTCGAATAGCCCGAAAAAAAGGCCAACGATAAGACGCAGAGGCCCGGGATCAGCTCGCGGGATATAAAAGCCGGCGAGAGTAGTAGCAATAATATTAAAGCTCTAGATCTTATGCTTATGCTTATGCTTATGCCGATAATTAAGTCGGCGGTCGAGACGCGAGTCTTTAATCCTCCGCCTTCGGAATCCATTACGCTTTTTCTTTCTTTCTTTTTTTGTTTAATCTTTTAAAGATCCTTCCTACTCGCTTGTATCGTTTTTCCTTTCCGTCCTTTCCTTTCTTTCTCTTCCTTCGTCGTGACTATCCGCGCGACTTTTTCGCGGATCTTGGCCCGGATCATGTCGATGATCTCTTTTTTTTTGACTTTTTAGACCGCTGTCTTTCACTTTTTATTATCTTTCCATTTCCTATCGTCTAATACCTCTTCTTCTTCAAGCACCGTCCATAGCCGCCCTTACGCTTCCGACTTTTCCAAGTGATCAAAATGTTTATGTTTACACTTAAAGAAGAACGCGAGCTACAACCTTTAATGTCTTGAAAGGCTGTCGGTAAGATACATGATAGAGAAAGGCCTTTAATCAGATAGGACTATATTGCAGTGTTTTTTCCCTAGACCTGAGAATCCTCGGCAGCGATCGATTGCTTAGAAGTCATTTTCTTTACCCGCTATCCTTGGCCATACTTTATGTATTTTAGATAAGAGCATACAGAATTCAAATACTTTTTAAACCGAGTGTGTTGCAATTGCAAGTATTTTAACGTTATTACGAATATTCATTTACGACAGATCGCGACGATCCAACACTGATTAATAATTATTTAATCGTCAAAATTACTTAATCACAAGGAAGCTTGGGTCGATCGAAGAATTAGGACTTTACCTTTGCTTACTCGAAGAATGTAAAGATGGTGAGTTTAAGCTATAAGAAGCTTGCAACCGTAAAGAAATCATATACTCGAATAACGAATACCTTGTATTTTCAGTAACTCCGATTCTAATCATTACAACATCATCAACGCAGTAGAGTCACGCCAACCACATACAGTATACAACACTTGTCGGCGCCTAAGGAACCTCATTCAAGAAGCATGCAAGCATAAGGAAATCATATATTTATATACCGAATACTTAATATTATCGGTGACTTATATTCAAGTCATTACAATATCATCAACGCTGTAAAGTCACGCCAACTACACGCAGCATACAACACCTGTCGGTGCCAAAGGAACCTCATTCAAGAAGCATGCAAGCATATTATCTATCAATTAAATCTGCCGATTCGCGAGCTCTTTAACGTTTATATTCGTCCGCTTTATCGATAATTAGATTTCGTTGCACTTTATTTTAATATTCTCGACGATAATTATTTATCGCGACACGCCTTTGCTATTAAGGTCTAACAACTGCCTTAATTAAGTCTTTTTAAAAAAATATGTACGGATCGTCGGACTTCGCGTAAGTGTTATTAGTGCCCGACGCACCCGAGCTCTGAGTATTCTCTCGGTTGCCAGAGTACCGGTACCTTCGACCGTTGCTTTGGATCCTCGCGTCGTCGTGTATATAATTAAAAGGGTTCATCGGAACGGATTAGCTAGTCGTATTTATGCTCGGTACGCTCGACGAATAAGTCGTGCTTATCTCGTCGCTCTCGGTGGTCGGTTCGGATTCGTTTACGGTCAAGAATAACGTTATCTAGGTATGCGAGCTCGTTCTCGTTTATCATATCGTATTATAAAAAAGAAAAGCTCCGATATACCAAATGTTCTTCGACATTGCGATCGATAAATCAAATTCAGAACACGCAAAGCAAAAGAAAGAGAGTTGTTTGTAAGCTGCATAAAATATATTTATTTAGTCGTTGTTTAATAATTTGTATTAAAGTATGCCGGATAGAATTGAAAAATCACGGCCGAAGGCTGGCATACTTAGTATTAAGGTCCGTGCGCTTTCGAAAAATCAGCTTAAAAATTGAGAAGAATCAAAAGAGTCTAAGAGATGTAATAATTATTTTTTTCTTTAATTTGGATTTGTAATTGTTGAGTAATTAAGAAGTGATGGGTGAATGTCTAATGTTGATTTTGACGTTCTCGCTGAAGTGGCCAACAGCAATTGCCTAGTACTGTACTGTATATCTGATTGCGAATCAAGAGATTTATATAAATATGACTATAATAGAATCGTAAGTAAGAAGAAGATGAAGAACCAATCACTCGTTTATATACTGCTTTATACGTAACGCACCTACGTCCTAAAGATACTTGATAACAGTTCTAGATATATAGACAAGACCGACATGTATACGTTTTCGTAACCGATTATAATAGCTTTATCGTGTTTTAACTTTGATTATCCACGCTGCTTGATGCTACGGACGCGTTGAAGTTGAGGAAAGGATTCATGCCGTTATCCCCGAAGGCTCGAAGGCTCCCGCGGTCTGCGAAAATGTCTCGCTTATACCGGATAGCATACTTAACGACTCGCTATATCGTAGATATCTTTGCTCACGTCGAACCCGTTAGCAGCGGATTAGGAAGGACTGCTATAAGGCACTTTCGACAAATGAAGCATATTATAGATCTTGATACTGTACTCTTCCTCTCCGCATATAAGCATCAGCTTTCCGTCCTGCATCGAAAGTGCTTTGCATAATCCTATTAGCGTCCTTATACACGCACGTACTTGCTCGGATTCCCGATCACGCCTTACGATGCGTTGACTTAATAGAACCCGTTGATCACGGATATGCTGTTTATAACGTTAAGTATATCGGCTTTAAACGTTTTTAAGACCGGTGCCACCGCTTTAACTAGTAGGCTTATCTTCACGAAGTCGTGACCGATGCGCTTCTAAGCTAGACCTCCGTGATGGCTTATTTAAAATGTGCTCCGGCACCTCTTTTATAACGACGCCGTTCATGGTCCACTAGTTCAAGACCTAGTCGTTGCTTTTTATAATGATGTCGAAGTAAGCTTTGCCCTTCTTCGTCTCTTCGTCGAGGTTGGGCTTATCCATTCCGATCCTGAACTCGTCCTACCTGATGTTGCTTAATCACGCGCCAAGCTGACCGAGACCGCCCAATCCTACCCTGCGTCACGCCGACGTACTTCCCGACGGGATCGAGAGTGCTCTTCTTGGTCTCCCTTATCAAGGCCGTGTTCAACCATATCGACTTAAGCCTAGCGATCAGCTGAAGGTCTTCTTATGTCCAATCAAGCCTTATGTCCAGTCAGGCCTTATGTCCAGTCAGGCCTCATGCCCAGTCAGGCCTCATGTCCAGTCAGGCCTTATGTCCAGTCAGGCCTCATGCCCAGTCAGGCCTCATGTCCAGTCAGGCCTCATGTCCAGTCAGGCCTTATGTCCAGTTGGGCTCTCGTGCGGTGGATCAGATGTTAGAGCCCTCTATAGTATACGTGTTCTGCCTTAAGCCACTTCCACTTCTGCCTTTGCCTATGTAGGTGTTAGTAAGGACGACGGTACCTGTGTCCCTCAGCCTGTTGTTACCCTCTTGGTTGCCGGACAAAGGGCTGAACGGGGGGTCTTCTTCGCGGAGTCCTTTTTCTTTATGAACTTGTTCTCCTTGATAAGGGTTACGCTTGGAGAAGTCAAGATGGTCTCGACTTTCTTAGAGACAAGGGGCGCGATTGCGGCCTTTTCGTGGCCATCCTCGATATCTTCATCGTCATCGTCATCATCATCATCTTATCCGCTATCGCCACCGAGATCTGCTTCTTAAAAAGCCTCCGTGATCTTGCCGATCCTTAACTTCTCGTCGTCCATCTCTTTCTATGCCACTCGGGCTCGTGCTGCGCTGCTAACGGTGCTTATATTCGCAGTCTGATCGTGTTCTATTCGTATATACGACCGCGTGCGTGGCTGCCAAGTGTACTTCGTAACGTCGTTCGTATGCGTAAAGCTATCTAGTACAAGTTTTGATCGTAAGACGGGCTGATGTTGAATATCCGTTGCAACGGGCGTGACGGTCTAGTACTAGAACTCGTATAGCTCGATAACATTCTCGACGGTCTTACCTGAGTGCTGAGATACCTAGTAAAGATGGTCGTGCTTATGCATCTTTAATAACACGTTAAGTCTCGGCAAGATTACCGCAAACCAATCCGTCCCGATTCGAGAAGTCTTCTCGATAAACTTCGAGAACTTGATAAAGGACGAGTTGGCGCTCATCATCTGCACGCTCACGACGCATTAATAGCTAACCTTATACACGGTGTTCGTCGTAATATTAGTCTCGCATCTTATGCACGTAGTGAACCAGCAGGACGATTGGATGTCGACGTTGAAGTCCGAATCGATCTTCAACTCGAAGTCGGACACGTCGGTCATACAGATGGCCTTAGAATAGATCGAGCAAATGAATGACGTGACCGTTGACATCTTGTAGTAGTTTACTTTGAGATCGTGGTCTATATATAGTCGCCGTCATAAGTACTAGTAATGCTTTATCAACGAGTTTTCCGAAACCTATATCTGATTGACTCACGTATAACAACCAGATCTAGTAAAAGAACTTTACACTCCTTTCTAGTAACGCGTCGAAGTTGATTTATTGCTTCGTGGTCTCCGCCCTCTTATCTACGACTATCTGACCGTGCTCGGTAAGCTTCTTTTTAATAGTCTTGATGCACTTGATGTACGGAAGACCTAACCCTTCCCTCCATGACGGTATCCACGTCCGGCCACTTGAACGCAGCCCCGAACAGGTCCTTATTTACTTACTCGACGGCATCTGCCAACAGCTTCGGGATAGTTTCGCATAACTTAGTTTTGCCTTTATGTCCGCATCTGCCGAATATATTGTTGTTGTTGTTATTGTATTTATTTACGTCGGGCGGGTAGCAAGCGAAGCCTGCCGCCCTAGGACTTCCTATAAGGTACGGCGACGCGTGTCGTAAGACCAGGCCACGTGATAGTATTAAAGCACGGACCAGGTAGGGGAGTCATCTCCTTCCCTAATGGTTTCAGTACCCGTCGTTCAGCTACGTGCTTAGCTAAGGAGTTCCATACAAGAAGGCCCCAGAAAGCAATTCAAGTATTGCAGCGAGAGCTATTATCGTCTGCGCTCTTCTTTTACGAATAAGATGGATCATAATGAAAAAGAGTCTTTCGTTAAAGGAAAACCACAAAAGAAAGTCAGGCAAGTACAGACTGCTGTAGCCAGCTTATAGCGTGGCTGTGCGAGTCGCATAACGACCAGTATCAAGGCCGGACCGGAGTCAGCCGAAAAGCACTTATAAGTGCAAAGAAAACCCAAAACAAAATGCCTAAACTCCATCTGCTGAATATAACGATGACGGACGGGCCTTTAATCGGGTCGATCACCGCACGTCTTATCCTCTATAAGAAGTCGATCTTTTGGTCGTATTTAAGCGGCAACAAGATATTGACGATGACCCCGTCCGACTCTACGACGTTCAATATCGGTATACCCATATCGACCTTAGCTAGCTAATAGTAATAGTTGGGAAAGCTCACTCGTGAACCATGGTTCACGGGTCACTTGGCATGCCTCGCTTAATATATCACCAGTCAAGGGACCCCCAACTTGACAAGTAAACCTATTAGTTAGCTAGTGCACGTGATTCCTTCTAATCATATAGAAGGAGTCAGCTCCCCTGAGTCTTAGAGAGCAACCAGAAGTCAGATACCTTTACAACCGAGTGTTTTGCAATTGCAAGTACTTTGACGACCTTACGAAGTTACGAATATATTCCCAATCGCTTGGAAGCAATCCAACATTCACCTTGGACGGGCATTAGAAGGGCTTGGGAGGATGATGTGATATACTACGAAAGTCAGTATCCGATACTATATCTCGTCTATGATTCCCTTAGAAAAGAGGGGCGTGCATAAGTGGTAGCACACGATGATGCCCGACTTCTGGTACTCGCATATAAACATCAACTTATACGTGCTTATGCACAAGCTAGAAATTATCCTTCCGAAAAAGAAACGCGATCTTCTTTAACAGCGCGTATATCTTCTTAAGAAGTCTCGCGAAGTTGACAAGCGCGTTAATCCCTGTCATCTCCAAAAGCTCAGACCCGAAGATCTCCGAGTGTAGCTGGCTCTACGAAGCAATAGTCTCGCTGTAATGTATTAAGTGAGACCGTTGGTGGCTATCGCTCTGTCTTAGAATAGTGTGAGGTGTCGTTATGCTATACGATTCGATAGGGCTCCTCATACAGTAGCGGGAAGTCGTCTTTGAACCACTGCAATCCGTCGTCCTCGCATAGCTCGGCCGGGGTGCCGATGGTATCGTTCGTCTTAGTCGCCTCTTTAATAGACATCCTTTATAACGCGGTTCGTGCTACCAGGCCGTACGAACGTCATTGTACTCGTACAAGGTAAGGCCTACCGAGTCAGCATAGAGAAGGGCTACAACACGGTGCAGATGCATTGTACGAACAAGTCGTTCATTATGTGGACGATCATCCAGAGGTTGAATAATAAGGCGATAGACATGCTTATAAAGTCCGAGTGGGCTATCATCTCGAGCTGGATCGACAATCCGATACTTATTAAGATGCAGATCGGAACCGTGTGTATGGTGGATATCTCGTTCAAGATGGCAAGACCAGCTCAAAGGATGATCGTGACCGCCGATATTATAATAGACATACCTACCGCAACCGTAGAGTTTCCAAGCACAACATTAAGGCGGATTAGCCCGGGGTGTGAGGCGGTGTCGCGCTATTATTGAGCAGCGAGATCTGGCTGCTGAGGTTCGCTTCGATATCGGGTTGCGGACCGGCTCCGAACGGGAGACCCGGCTTGGATAACCTTAACAATAGCGTCGACTTCTCGGTCGTAAGGTTGGATATCGAGGTCACCACCGACGTCAGGAACGGCAAAATGCACTTACCGCACGACCCTTTCATCAGCATTTGCATATCTGACGAGGCTTGGTTCGACGGTAAGGGTAAGGACATCTGTCACTGCATCTATACGTTTAAGTATCACGAAGACATTACCTCCGAAGGGGGTAAGACTCTGGTCTTCTTGAAGGCAAGGACCTTCGAATAAGAGATCGAGGCCACGTACAACATCTTTAACATCTTGTCACCCGACTTCGTATATATATACAACGGATTCAGATTCGACCTGGACAGAATCGCGACCCAGTCCTATTCCATCCCTTTGATCGAGCACACGTTCGAGGACAAGAAGCTCGGCAACAGCGGTACGACCACCTATATGAGGTTGCCCAACGGTGTCAACTTTATCGACTCGGTATACGATATCGATAAGTATCTCAAGAAAGATTGGAACACGATGTCCTTCGCAAGAGTCACGGAGACGCTGGGACCACCCCCGAAGCTGGATGTCGATAATATGCAAGTGATGAACAGCGATTGGTACAACGTAACTAAGGGTGTGTATGGCTCGCAGTTGCACGTCCGTGCAACTAAGCAGTTGAGTTGATCCTAAATAGGATCAATTCAACTTGACAGTTGAAGTTGCACGTTCCAAGGCCTGTATGGCTCGCAACTAGCAAATTTTGCAACTTATTGTTTTTTTTTTTTTTTTTTTTTTTTATATAACTATTAATTGTTTTTTCGTAATAATCGTCGGTTACCTGGAATTTATTTGTAAAAAATCCCGACCTGGCGCAGCGAGGTCGGCACTACCAAGGCGGGACAGTAAAATTTGCTCCTTTTTAATAAATAAAAAATCAATAAACTATTATATAATAATTATGTTTGTATAAAAATATGCGCCGTATTAAGTTTAATATTAATCAATTAATTGAATTTTAATTACAAGTTGCTATTCCTTTATTTATTGTGTTGAGTTAAAGTAATAAAAATAGTACTTTTGATATATACTTTTCGATTTTGATAATGCGTATATATCAGAATTGCCGCGTATATATTAGAATAAGCGAGGAACACGAAAATCGGACTTTTATTTAAATCTATTAAAAAAATACGTGCATCACTATCAACTTTGATTTAATAATTAATACGTTCAGTAATATAATATATTAAATCATTTATTTTCGATCTATATAACGTTTTTTTGAATTAAGGTTGTAGTTATTAAGATATTTGTAATAAACAAGTAAATTATATAAATTAAATTCAAGGTAACCGACGATTATTAAGGCGAGATAGTAAAATTTGCTTCTTTTTAATAAATAGAAAATCAACTAATTTATATATCGTAATTATTTTTGTATAAAAAGATGCACCTTATTAAGTTTAATATTAATCAATTAATTGAAATTTAATTTCAAGTTGTTATTCTTTTATTATGTTAAGTTAAAATAGTAAAAACAATACTTTTGATATATACTTTTCGATCTTAGTAATGCGTATATATCAGAATTGCTGCGTATATACTAGAATAAGCGAAGAAAACGAATTGCGCAAATTATGCTCTTTCAAAATATCTTTAGAAGAAGCTATTGCAAAAAGATAGCGTTATAAAAAGGGGGTGGAGGGGGGGGGGGGCGAAGGAATAGCTTGCAACTTGAGCTTGCAACTTGGGAGTTAGAGCTTTTTGCTGCAACTTCGATTTGTATGGTGCAACTGCAGTTGCAAGGTCAGATGCACACTTTGCAAGATTTACGTGCACGAGCCATACAGATTGCTCAATTCTTGCATCTTGACGTGCAACTTGGAGATGCAAGAATATTTTGGTGGTGCAACTTGGCTTGCATCTGCGAGCCATACACACCCTAAGATGCTGACGTACAACTTGAAAGATTTCGACCTATATGCGTTGGTCTTTAAGGAGATGAGGACGTGCGAGAGGTACTTCGCGCTGGCGGGTGTATCGAGGGGCTCGATATGGATCCGATAGCCGGCAACACGGGGACCATGATGTTTTGCTGCGAGTCGTCTTTCGCTTTGTTACGGACATGTGTCTTAACTTGGGTATTATATCGGGTGCCGATAAGATGGAATTCGAGGGTGGATCCGTGCTGGATTCGGTAGCCAAGTGCTTAAAGGGTATCATAGTGATCGACGGTAACTCGTTGTACGAATCTATTATCTTTAAGCTGGGTATTATATCTTTATCGATAAGTGTGCGTCTGGTGCTTTTCTCGAAAACCTGTCCGCGAAAATAAGTTCAGATCTTATATAGTATAAAGATAAGGTCGTGGTAAACGGTGCCTTGAATGTAAAGGACTATATTATTATTATAAGGAATAAGGATGTGTACATGTGTATCGACAAGGGTGGCCTTGCCGTGCTGACGGTGATCATCGACACCTTGATTAGGTTGAGGAAGAATGCCAAGTGTCGGTATACCTATATCGACCTTAGCTAGCTAGTAGTATTTAGGGGAGTTCACCCGTGAACCATGGTTCACGGGCCACTTGGCATGCCTCGCTTAGCATGTCACACCAGTCAAGGGACCCTCAACTTGACTAGTAAACCTATTAGTTAGTTAGTGCACGTGATTCCTTCTAATCATATAGAAGGAATCAGCTCCCTTGAGTCTTGGGGGGCAGACAGAATTCAGATACCTTGACAACCGAGTGTTTTGCAATTGCAAGTACTTTGACGACGTTACGACCTTTACGAATATATTCCCAATCGCTTGGAAGCAATCCAACACCAAGTGCTCGAGGGACACCGATAAAACGTTCTTCTTTAAGACGATGTTGACTAACATATTCGGCATATTAAGAGTAGGCATGCGATAATCAGCTCAAAGCTGTGCGCAGCGATCATCACGTATTTGGCGAGGCACTACCTTAAGATAGTAATAAAGGCATTTAACTACTGCAGGTATTAGAAAAGTAGGAAATGCAAAAGGGGGATTAAGGTATTGATTATTAACTATGGAAGAGGGAAGGCTACATAATCCAAGGGTGTAAGCTAATAATAATAGTAACGTAAAGTGTCCTTTGTTCTTTTTCCCGTTTATTATTCCTTCTTTATAAAATAAGCACTCGCGAATTGAGGATCCTAAGTAAAGCCGCCTAATTATGCTTAAATAATAGCTTGATATCTTTTGATATATTTCTTTTAAACTAAAGATTAAAAGCCTCGTTTGCTTAGAAATTAATTTAAAAGCTATTATCGGGGTCTTTTTTTTAACTTTAAAATCTTTTTAATATTGTTTTGATCGTTAGCTATCTGTGAAATTTGAATAAGGAAGTGAAGTGAAGAAAAACGAGTCAGAATTGCTTGCTTGCTTGCTTAGAGTAAATACAGGAGACCTTTCAAGGTCCTATATAGACTATTAGGTAGTTCTAGAGCCTTTTATATTACTTATAGAATACGTAATACTATTATAAATCAAAGTCAGGTAGAATATTCCTGTAAGTTCTGATAAATCATCTGACTTCGCTTAGAATATTCTACTTAAAGTGATGATTATATAATATAAATCAATACCTTAAAATATTTTAAAAGTGATGATTATAAATCAATACCTTGGAATATTCTAGATAAAGTGATGATTACAAATTAGTACGTTAAAAGCTTAAATAAGCAAATCAAAAGATATTTAATAATGTAATTATGTATATCAAGGCATTCGATAAATCTTCATTCCTTTAAGAAAAGCTAAGCTATTCGTGTTTATCGACAGCTCTTTTGCTAATAACAAAGATTTAAGTTCTTATATTAAATATACGATTATCTTAGCTATCGAGCAAGATATAAGGACTGATAAGATCGAATTGCAAGGCAACCTCGTCTATTACTTTTCGGTGAAGTGCTTTCGAGTTACTAAGAGCGTACTAGGTTCCGAATTTTATAGTATAATAGCTAGAGTAGATATTGCAATTGCAATAAATACTACGCTTGCAACAGTTACTAAACAATTCGGCTTACTCACCATTTTAATAATTATCCTTATTAATGCTTGCTTACTTTACGAGTGTTTGGTTAATCTCGGCACTACGAAAGAAAAACGCTTAATAATCGATATTATAGCGCTAAGCAATCATACGAAAAGAAAGAGCTTACTAAGGTTCGATGGATTGCTAAAGAATATAATAGCGCCGACGCAATAACAAAAGCAAAACTTAATAAAGCGCTGGAAACCTTTTTAAATACGAATAAGCTAAAGGTCAAGTTGGAATGATAGGTTGAGAAGGAAAGCTGAAAAAATTTGTTTTCGATACTTCTTATTTAGGGAGCACTTTAGCGTTTAGAGTTTTGTTATTTTTCTTTTCCTCCACCTTCATTTTTAGCTACCTTGCTATTAGCAAAAAAGAAAGAGTGCGAGTGTTAGAACTAAAACCTTAGTCAGAAGCTGAATTAGTTAAAAGCCGAACTGGCGGTCAGCCTTATTGACTATAATCAACTGAATCAACTTAATCAAACGGACCAACTTAGTTAAATGGGCCAAGTCACGTAAAGCTCTGTTTATACCTTCCGTTTGCATCGGTGGCTATAAGTAGCTACTACCTTACGTACTTAGACAACATGCAAAAACAACTAAATCCACTCGAATAATCGAATACGTATTCTGACCTTGCATCACCCTTTAATACCAACAAAGCTACCTTCTGAAACTTAGTAAATAAGGAGGTTTCAAGGGGTCCCCTTCTTATAATAAATTATTAAAAGATAAGTAATTTGCAAAAAGATCTGGGGTCTCTCTGGCAAAAAAAAAAAAAAAAAAAAAAGGGTGTAAGAGGGTCTCTTTATTATAATAAATTATTAAGTAAATCATTTCTTGCGTAATAATACTTTTATATCTATTTAGTTATATTGTGATTGATTTTATAGTTTTAACTTAAATGTATTCTGATTCTTCTAAATCGAGTAATTGGCCCGTTGATAATACTATAAATAACTTTTTCCTTTGCCCTGGTATATTAATAGGGATCTAATCTTTTCAAATCGAACTTGGCCTTTTTATAATCACCGGGTTAAATAATTCTTAATTAATAATTTGATATCAATTCGTCAATAGCGAACGGTCCAATAATTGATGTGCGATGCACGCAATCTTTTGCAATTGCAAATTTTAAAGTCAGTAAGTCACAATGATAATCAACTTTCCTCCACTTCTTAATGTTCGAAGGAATGGACTCCCATCATTAAAAGGCATCTTTATAACTAGATATTTAATAGTATTTATAAAGAAGTTGAAGACCTTAGATCGTATGCTAATATAAGCGAAATATGCTTATCCAGTAATCAAGCTGCTTGATTAAACTGTATCGAGATTCGACATCAATAATTCGATAATTAGATTATCGTTAATAATAATATTAAGATTTGGAAAGTTTTAATAGTCTAAAATAAATGAAGAATATATAAACCCGTAAATCAAAAGCGAATCGAAGGCTTTTAAAAGAAATCGATAAATACGTTTAGATCTCGTTTGCGCGTTTATAATCGGTATAAAAAATAAAAAAATTAAATTTTAAATGGGATCCATTGAACTTTTAATTACATCTCGCTATTCCTTGTTTATTCGCCTCTTAAGCTTCTTTCCAGGTGTTCCAA